AACTGACTGAAACAAAACTCGCCCACCACTGCTTAATGACGTAACCATTCATCTTAATTATTTGAGACCACGTGCTTCCGGAATTTTCAAATATGGCGTCTTGCAACGCGGATCAACCGCTTTAATATGGAAGAATAATAACAACAATAATAATAATAATAACAATAATAATGGTAATAATAATAAGTTTTGACTGTTTTATAACTTTATATTGTATGATAATCTTAAATATATACACGAATATAAGTGCATGTATACACATACAAACACATACATACCAATAGGTGCTCATGCACATACAAACACCTACATACACATACGCACATATAAACACATACATACGTACATACAAACACATACATACGTACATACAAACACATACATACAAACACATACATACACATAAATCTATTCTTACAGACTTATAGTAACATATAATTGTAGAAAAGTTAATTCTCAGATAAGAGCCGTTTTGCTGAAGCCTAAATATGGCGCGCTAGAAAAATTAAAACAGGTAACACAAAATAATTTTATCATTTTTTAGCTGTGTTGAAAATATTTGTATAAAAATTACGTTAAAAATAAATGTATTAAAATAATTCTCGCGAATGTTACGCGTCAAAAAACATTAACAACATCAACAACATCAACATCATCAACAACAACATCAACAACAACAACAACAACAACATCAACATCAACAACATCAACAACAACATCAACATCATCAACAGAAACAATTACAACAACATTAACAACAACATCAACAACAACATCAACATCAACAACAACAACATCATCAACAACAACAACACCAACAACAACAACATCATCAACAACAACAACAACACCAACAACAACAACAACAACATCATCAACAACAACAACAACAACACCAACAACAACAACAACAACGCAGCGAGAAGCCATCTGCCAACAACTCAGAACTGCTCTTACATCGGCTACTTTACACACGTTGATCGTGATGGCTTGGGACCTACGGACTCCATATTACGTAAATATTTCAATTATTATTATAATAATTATAATAATAATAATAATCATAATAACAATTATAATAATAATTACTATTATTATTATTATTATGAATCCTTTATATAGCGCCCAATGCAAAAGAAACTGCCGTAAAAACAACACACAATTGTACATTAGCACAAACATGTGATGATTTCATGGCTTGCAAGCACACAGCTACGACTACTCTAGCTAATCACTATTATAACAACAATAATAATAATAATAATTATTATTATTACAATAATTATAATTATTGTTGTTATAATTATTGTTAATATTCTGTTGGTTATACACGTTCGTGAACTTGTTATGAAACCCTGTCAATCAAGGGATTAAATGTTGGTTTATACGTCACCGTCATATTTGAGTTTGCGTTCGTTCGTTCGTTCGTACGTTCTTATTGTTGTTGATTTTTTTCATGTTAATATACTGTTGATTTTGTATTTGAGTTGTTGGGCGAACCTTGAAAAAAAAAGACAAACATACACTTATACACACACAAACAATCAAACAAACAAGCAAACATACATACATACAAACAATCAAACAAATATACATACACATACAAACAAACATACAAATCTTTGTGATTTTCCAACTGAGCGAGCCACGAAAGCAAACTCAACCAGCATCAACCATAAATTGACAAAAAAAAAAATTAAAATTCCCTCTAGTGCGAACGCTAATAAATTGCACAAAAAGTTGTATATTGGCCTTTTTTGTTTGTCTGTTTGTATGTATGTATGTATTTTTGTTTGAATGTTTGTATGTTTGTTTGTTTGTTTGTTTGCTGGTTTGTTTGTTTGTTTGCATTTATGTGTGTGCGTGTTTAAAAATGAACCAATGAACTTAAATGATAATAAAACATCATCAAAAACTAAAAATAACTCACCGGGAAAACCACAAAATTTTTAGTTTCGTTAAGAAGAGCAACTGGATTTCCAGTGGCTGGCCTCTTGTTTCTGTTGGCTGCACAGACGATATGCTTCGCGAGTCAGTGTAGCGTCTACAAACAATGTCTGACTATAACCTTTGGCGTCGCTTACGTCAGCGGAGGTGGGTGAGGATTCCGTTTCGTTTCGGTTTGAAGTTTCAGTCTCGTTTCGTTATTGTTTGGATTCCATTCTAGAATTTGTTCGTTCTTTGCCAGATTAGTTTTTGTTGTTGTTATGTTGCACCTTGCACGCATATATCCAAATACATTCACACACATACGCATCCCACACAAACACACACACACACCACACACAAACACAAGTAACAACACACAGACACACGTAACCACACACAGACACACACACAAAAAC